CTTACACATTTCATTGTAATATTTTTCTTTGTCATCCCGTGCTGCCTTTTGAAATCTTCTATTCAACTCTTTAGCATCTTGAATTCTTCCCTCTGCTTTGGCGTCTCTGCGCTCCAGTGCAATTTTGAGAGTCTCTTCTGACATCCATTTTGGTCTTTTCTTCCTCTTCTGTCTTTGTAATGAATGTTTGCACTCTCCTTGGATGATGTCCTTGATAGGCTCCCGCAACTCATCTGGTCTTTGCTCATTAGTGTTCAAGGCCTCAGACTTATTCCTGAGATGGTTCAGAAATTTAGGTGGGATAGACACAAAGTCATATTTTGGTTCCCATGGACTAGGTTTAATTTTCCTCATATGAACTTGCATATGAGTAGTTGGTGTTCTATTCCGCAGTCAGCTCCTCGCCTAGTTTTCACAGCTGATACTGAGCTGCTCCAGCGGTTCTTTCCGCAAATGTAATCAATCTTATTCCCATGCATCCACCACATTTTAGGTAAACGTGGAGTGCCACGGCTGCAGTGCCCGATCCGTTCTAAGGCCCCATAAAAAATAAGGAAATCCCAGCAGGCACAGCGGAAGGGCAGAAGGGGTCCTGAGATCATCCAACACATTTCAGGTAAATGTGGAGTGCCAGGGCCACAGCGCGCGATCCGTTCGGGCCCTGGGGCCAAGGAAAAAAAAAACAACTAAAAACCTATCTACACACCAGCTCTACAGGACACATCACCTTCGCTTAGAAGCATTGCCACTGAACTTAAGAGACACTGGTCACATCATAAGAAACTGTCTGAAGCCGACGTATTTGGAATCACGGAAGCCAAGGAAGCTTCAGATATAAGCTGTCAGATCAAAGTGGAGGACAATGGGAGATGGATGTTGAAGGGAGTGGATAGAAGTGGATGGGTATCTTGCCTGGTGCATGGTGGAGCAGGGAAATAAGTCGGTAAAGACACATGTGCCAAGGAGAGGTACAACACTGATACGAATGGCTAACTCCACAATTCAGAATTTATCTTTCACTTTTCTATAAAATGCTTGTCTGTCTGATGCTTCTCTAAATCTGAACATTCAGATTAAGACAGACTAGGAAGAAGAATTAGACATCCACTTCTGCATCCGCTTCTGAAATAGAAAGCCTCTGAAAACCCTATGTACAACAGAACACATGTAGATAACAGAAAGGGCAACTGAGGCTGAGCTTTCAGGTATGGAAATACAAAGGAAGAGGAACAGTTGTAAGCAGACACTAATGATTGGGACATGGAATGTGAGAACCATGAATGTAGGAAAATTAGAAATTGTTAAGAAAGAAATAGAACGCAT